GCATTTGTGCACATTTGTGTTGTAAAACCGTAGGAGGTTAATAAACATCTTGCTGGTTTCAATCTTTTTAAAAAATGCTTGCCTGAAATTTTATTGGCAACTTTGGACATACAAAGTGCGCCTGCAGTACTAATGTATTAAAATGGTTCCCAGCCCAGCCCATTTATTGAAGTGCCATTTTACCAGTAAGAACCAGTGTAACCACACTGCATGGGGCACGTGATTACACAATGAAAACTTGATTTCGTTTCACAATTCTATCTTCGAGGACTACCTGAGAGGTAAAATGCAAAAAGACATGAACATACATTTAGCAAAATGAGGCAATTTTACAATTTCAATTTTAAATTTTGTCATTTCTTAGTTTCATTTGCACCATTGTAAAGGAAATATGGCCTGACTGTAATAGGTCCTTCTTGAGCTGTCAAAGGACTCACCTCTAACATTTCCCGTAACCTAACATCTGTTTGTTGCTGTTGAGGAGAAAACATAGGAAAAGAAAACAGATATGAAAAAAACACAATAGTTACATTCACATTAGGTGATATTTCACTTTTTTCCTTACAAGAAACTAAAATGTAACCTACAAGGACTGTTTAAATATGACCTGATATAAATCTTTATATTTCAAAATCTCAGACACTCTATGTGGGTATTCAGATATTTATGAAGTGACTTGTAGGATCACTAAGTTGTTCCTGCTGCCTTTACTTGCTTGCATTTGATTATCATTAACATTAAATACATGTCTACATGTACATGGTCATGATTTGATTGCTTGGATACGATGCTATCATTGGACTTAATCTATGTAAACGGCACTGAGAAAGCCAAAATGGTTTCAGAAATAAGATGTGGTAATATTGAAGCTAAAGCTCATTATAATAACTATTTGATATCAATATCAATCAGGGATCTGGATACATACCAGTGTTTTGATTGTGTGTAAGCTCTTCATCAAGCTAAGGAGTTGTTGTCTTCTCCTGAAGTTGGCAAGAATACTCAAGCTAGCCACTGTGAAACCTTGTTTAGCCATGGCCAGTTGTCTATGCAAGAACACAAAATGTCCACTTTCTTTTCACTTTTTAAGGTATTTGTCACAAAATAAAAACTAGTCTTGTATTTGGTGATATTCAACTTATGGTTCGTTGACATGGCATTATTTGGATGCCTCACATAAGAAAATAGTATGTGCCATCATTTGTGCAAAATGACACCTGCATGTACGATGTGCATGAAAGACAAAGCTACAGGTAAATGAACATGTCACAGGTAAATGAAAA